TTTGCACTTGTGTTATCCTTCTCTTTGCAGCATGATGTTGGAAAGACATACATCGCTGTATTTTTAGCCCAACTCTGTTGGCGGGTTGATCAGTCTGTTTTTGTACAACACTGTCCAAGTACTGGATCAATGTCACTTTTATTAGATGTATCTAAAACGTATGACCATAGTTTCCCATGAGTCTCAGCTGTTCTCTGAGGTCGATGTCAAAATACTGTAGCATACAAACCGGATGACGTTGGCAGTCTAGCATGCTATGCATGAATTATTCCACTACATTAGCACACATGACAAGTGTACGCATGCTTTATGGGTAACATACATGCTACACAACAACATAGTCTGGTCATTTGGCCATGGCCTTTGGCCAAATTTAATTTGTCCTACTAGTAGTAGGCTAATAGCAAACAAGTTGTTCCCACGTTCCAAGCAATGAAGCACCCACCTGGGCTGCCATTGTAGCCACAGATCTTTTGCTTTATTTAGACATATAGTGTCCAAATGCACTCACACAGACTTGCCAGCCCTGCAATGATGCATAGTGCCTGATGTACGCAGGCAGACACTACTCTGCAGCACAGCTTGTCCCTCAGATGGAAGATGAAAACAAACACACCTCCAGAGGATACAGTGAAATGTGGAACAGAACGCACTAAAATAATCTAAAATAATACCTGCCCGCTGTTTCATATGATGGGGGACTCACTAGGGAGAGAAAACCAAGAGGGTATGTTTTATAAAATGTGTGCCTTTGTTTAATGGGCTCACAAAAGCTGTATTTGTGTGCATGTGTACATGTTAAAATGCTGCACACTTTATGCTCTGTTTGCTTTGTGTGTTTTTGTATTTTTGTTTACAATTGAGTGGAACCAGAGCAGTGCTCCTGAATTGGGTGTGTTTTTTTCTTCTTGTCTTTGAGATTGATGAAGAGATATTTCTATTTGACTGAACATTTCACAAAGATAGTGTTAGCGTCGCCTCTATCCCCCCTCATTCTGTCTGCCACCCACCAAACATTTTCTGCTCCTCTGCCTGTCTCACAATTTTTTTTTTGCGAGCAAAATACAGTCATTCTTGAATGATTTGCATGTTTTTGAGGTGGTGGAGGACTACATATTATTTGTTTGTTATTGTCATTGTTATTGTCATAGGACTGATAATTTCTGCTTGACTAGTGGAGGGAAGCCCACACGTTAGATGTTTATTTCCCAGCTGCATTATTTATAACAGAACATGACACATTTCGCAGAAGCAACTATTTTTCACAGTTGGGGTTACTGAGCCAATTATGTAATTGCACTGACACATTAAACAGTGAACAAGCATTTACACAAGGCACCAGAAAGATAATGACTATTGCCCCACACCATGTTTATTCTGCCTTGGGACAGTACTTTCACTTTACACTTAATTTCAGTGTATTTTATTGCCTGTGGCCCTGGAATATTGAATATCTTTGGATACAGAAAAGATATTTTATTAAACGAAAACAAAAATGCAAATGAACAAGTTAAATTTTGCTTGGATGGAGTTTCTATGAGGCGTAGTCAAGGATCAGAGCAGTTAAGTTGATGAAGTCGATCCCCTGCAGGCCGAGCTAAGCTGACTCACCATGCATCTTCTTGATTGTATCCATGCAAATCCAGATATCTGGGCTTATCTAACATCTCACAGTCAGGGATTGTGAAGGTCATGAAAGCCCAGCAGTCCAGTCTCAGCGATGTGCATTGCTGGTCTGCTATTGATTCTCCATTATGTCTCCAATCTGCAGCAGTAATCCAATAGTATCTGGGGGCTGAAGCAAAGCAGAGCAAAAAGGAAGCTATATGTAGTATCTGTGTCCTGGTAATAGAAACTGTGGAAGCCTCCTTGAATACCTTTCAGCAGTTATGATCAGATGTTGTACTCTACTGTGGAAATTTATGTTCCACTTTTACAGTAAAGAACCAGAACTCCCTGTAAGAAGAGACTTTAAATAATTTTAAAATTATGTATCGTTTCTAAAACAAGTGTGTAGTATGGTGACTGATTGATTAATCTGTCGGATTCCTGCCTTCATTACTATTACCACTATCTGTCCTACTGAGACATATTACCATGGCTACTTGGACTTTTTGACAGTTCAGATGTATTGGATCTGCATTTTCTTCATACCAGACGGCCCATGTCTGCTCTCAGCACCATATTTTCCGTGCCAGGACTGCTTGGCTACAGAGTGGCTGTTTGACTTCCACAGGGGCTGACTGGCACCCTTGGCAATATCCCTGAAACCACGGAGGAGATATGGCATGAGAGCCAATGTTTGATCTGCACTCAAGTGTGTTTGTTTGAAGGGTGTTAGAGTTTCTGACAAGGGCGTATGGGAAGAGACTTCTTTAGGAACAGAGAGACTGACAGAGAGAAGAGCTATGTAAGTAAAGTTTATTTATATAATAGGAGCTTTTAAGCAGATAAATCACAAAGTGCTTCACAAGTAGGAAAAATGAAGTGAATCAAAAGTACAGTGTTGACCAAGTCTCGGTTTTGACGCAGTCACAGGAAGGGCTGTCATGAATTTGCCAAGAAATTTTACAGTTGCAACATTTTTTTGTCTTCTACATTTCTGTAGAAACTTCTTTGTGTGTGTGAAATTCAAACTTAACAAAGTCAAATGGAAATTGAAACAATTTTCTTCGATCTACATTGTGCAGACATAGTGTTACACAGTTTTACCATGACGTATGAAGTCTTTATGATCTTGCTTGACTTTCACAAAAGCACACAAACAACCCACAACGCCTCAACCCCTTTACATAGGCCAGTTCTAAGTGGTGTTTTTTACAGTACAGAGTTTCCTTTTTATTGATCACCTGTATCAGTTTACCCATTTGGTCCTCATCCAAACCACAAAACATCCACTATCTTCCAGAGGCATTGATTTGACAAAGATACATTTTTGTATTTCTCACTATAATGTAATTGTGACTTACAACTAACAAGGTATCATTTTACATATGTGTAACAGTGTACATGTGCTGTCCTTTATTCCCTTATTATACTCCTGTACGCCAGTGGTATTTGCAATGGGAGTATTTGACAGTGGTAAGACACGGCTGATTAGGATGATCCATCCATCCATTTTCATCCACATGTCCAACCATCTGTCTGCCTCTCTTTTGTTGAGAGGTGAACAACAGACCTGCTGTTGTTCACTGCAGCTGCGGGCCTTGCATGGATTGTTCTGGAAACAGTCTGTTGGAGCACCGGCTTGGTTGTGGGGTCAGGTGAGAGAGAGGGGGAGAGAGAGAGAGAGAGAGAGAGAGAGAGAGAGAGGTCCAAACAATCCCTTTTAACACTGACACTCGGGCCAGGGCTGAACAGAGAGCCAGACAGGCCGACAGGCTCATTAACATTCCTCAGGTTCAGAGCACACAGCCAGTCATACAATGTAATGGCTCAGGTGGATCAACATCTCATTTCACGGTGATGAAGAGAAATATTCGGATTCATTTCTAATGACTAATGATTGGTAACATGATTTTGTTTTTAAAGAGCAGTCAGGTGACTTTTGCCTCAGTGACAAACATAATCTTTTCTTTCAAGATGCATTTTGTGTGACCTTATGAACTTGTGTTCCTTCCTGAGAGGGTGACACAAAAGACTGAATATTACTTTAAAGGTGAGAGAGAAGGTACCCAAACAATGACACATAGCTCTAGTTGAGAGGTTGTACTTGCAGCTAAAATGTATCTGTATTGGTGTCTGTGTGTTTATAGCAACAGAAGAGCTGCTGCACAGATAAGGACCCAGTCTGGAGATAAGAGTGTCTGCTACATTCTTTTAATATCTTAATCAGTGTGTTGGTGTGATCATGTATTCATTTCTCCTTTTGAAGACTATTTTTAAACATGACTACAACATATTTAGCATTTTTTTAATAAGTAATACAGCATTGTAATTAATTTACAGTAGTACTGTTGTTGTAGCTTGTAGTAAGACTTTCAAAATAAAACAGTTTCATTCAGTTGTGTATAATCTTTGATTTGATGGGGATGTGATTGCTTGTCACAGAGGAGGGGACTGGAGGATATGGCATCGCAAGTGCTGAAGAAGCTAAAAGACATTGTGCAATAGTCAAGGCTCTGAGACCTGCAGGTGCATTTATATGCAGGTGGAATGGTGACTGCAGGCTTACCAGAGCTTTTCAGACAAAGTCCAAATTTTGTATTTCTATTAAGCCTCTGCTCCTCACTCCTCACCTGTGTCCCTGTTTTTCCCACTCACTCAGAAGACACACTGAGGCCCAGTTAGTGAAAATAAGGAGGGAAGGAAAGCGAGTGACAGGGAGTGGTACAGTAAAATTGGAGAACATGAGGAAATGAGGCTGTTTTTTTTTGTGGCTTAGTAAGGACTTGGTTGTGCTGTAAGCTGGGCAGCGCCAGCAGATCACTTTCAGCCCTGGGGCTAGCTCTGCTTCTTTATGAGATCTTATTCATCCAACACACACACACACACTCTGCCTGGAATATGGAAGGAATTATAAAAATAAAGATGTCAGAGTTGATGATGAGGAAAAAGGTGCCATTTAAGTATAGTGTTTCATCTACACAGTGTGATTTATGAAGCAACAGCTGACCTGACAACCAAGAGAGAGAAAAGTTGGTTATCACAC